AAATGCGGGTTTTGGAAAGACAACGTAACATTCCTGGGTCACATAATCACCAAAGAAGGAATCAAAGTGGACCCAACCAAAATCCACGCCGTCAAGGAGTGGCCCACGCCAAAGTCACTCTCAGAAGTTAGGAGCTTCCTAGGGTTAGCAGGCTATTATCGAAGGTTCATACCCGATTTTTCCAAGATAGCCCAACCCCTCACCAGACTCACGAAAAAGGAAGCCCCCTTTCATTGGGACAACAACTGCATCACCGCCTTTTAAAGACTGAAAGAAAGACTAACCACCGCACCCGTCCTAGCCCTTCCCTCCGGGGTATAAGGATTCGAGGTTTTCAGCGATGCCTCCAAGAAAGGACTGGGATGAGTACTAATGCAAAAAGGGAAAAGTGATAGCATATGCATCCAGACAACTCAAAACCCACTAAGAAAACTACCCCACCCACGACCTCGAACTAGCAGCCATTGTGTTCGCCCTAAAAATCTGGAGACACTATCTTTACGGAGTACAATGCAAGATTTATACGGATCATAAAAGTCTGAAATACATTTTCACCCAAAAGGACTTCAACATGCGACAACGAAGGTGGTTGGAACTCATTAAGGATTACGACCTGGACATCCAATACCACGAAGGGAAGGCCAATGTGGTGGCAGACGCCCTAAGCCGGAAAACCAACCACTCCCTCAACACCACTTGGATCCTGTCTGACGAGATATGTAAGGACTTCCAAAAGTTGAACTTGGAGGTGGTAAAACGAGGACAGGCGGATTCTGAGATCCACCTGTTCAACACCAGAATCATACCCACCCTACCCGAGGAAATCAAGCTTGGGCAGCGACAAGACCCGGACCTGGAGAAAATACGACTCAACCTAATTCCAGGAGGAGACGGACCTTTCAAAATATGGGAGGACGATAGCCTCCGCTACCAAGGGAGGTGGTGCATACCCACGACGCACCCCTACCTAAAACGACAAATCTTGGAAGAAGGGAACAATTCGCCATACTCGGTACACCCCGGGGGCGACAAATTGTACCAAGACGTGAAAAAGATGTTTTGGTGGACCAACATGAAAAAGGAAACCGCAGACTTCGTATGCAAATGCCTAAACTGCCAAAGGGTGAAGGCTGAACGATGCAAGCCTGGAGGACTCGTGCAACCCCTCGAGATACCACAAGGAAAGTGGGACTCCATATCCATGGATATCGTTGGAGGATTACCCACGACACCAACAGGCAAAGATAAAATTTGGGTAATAGTGGACCGGCTAACCAAAACGGCACGATTCATTGCCATGAAGGAAACGTGGACAATGACGCAGCTAGCCAAGGCATACATAAACCGAGTAGTGAAATACCACGGAGTACCCCGAAACATCGTGTCCGATAGAGATTCCAGATTCCTCTCACAATTCTGGAAATCTCTCCAAAAGGCCTTAGGAACGCGACTGAACCTAAGCACGACCTTCCACCCCACCACCGACGGACAAACCGAGAGAACCATCCAGACTCTCGAAGACATGCTAAGAGCCTGCATGTTAGACTTCCAAGGAACCTGGGAAGAACACTTAGACCTCATCGATTTTTCGTACAACAACAGCTATCACGCAAGCATCCACATGGCAACCTACGAAGCACTATACGGACAAAGATGCAGAACCCCTATATGTTGGGAACACATGGTCAGTCCAGTGACACTTGGGCCTCAATACCTACAAGACACCATAACCAAGGTCAAGTACATACAAGAGAAAATGAAGGCCGCTCAAGACCGTCAGAAATCTTACGCCGACCTAGGAAGAAGACAAGCCGAATTCTCCACAGGAGAGAAAGTCTGGCTGAGGATCTCACCCACACGAGGGGTGATGAGGTTCGGAAGAAAGGGGAAGCTCAGCCCCCGATTCATCGGCCCCTACGAAATCATGGAAAGAGTCGGGAACCTGGCTTAACGCCTCGCCTTACCCATTGAGCTGGAACGAGTACACAACGTATTCCACATATCACAACTAAAGAAATACATACATGATCCGAGCCACGTACTACAACCCGAGGCCGTGGACCTGGACGACACCCTAACTTACGAAGAAAGGCCAGTAAGAATCCTGGACGCAAGGCCAGGATCACTCGTCGACGAACCATAGAAATGGTGAAAGTCCTCTGGACCAACCACGGAGCCGAAGAGGCCACATGGGAACTCAAGTACAAGATAAAGGATCGCTACCCCGAGCTCTTCACACAAGGTAACCAGGACGAAAGCATGAGATGAGAAAAGGAGTCAACACAACGAAACCGAAGCTTCGGGGACGAAGCTTCCCGTTAAAGGGGGGAGTGTGTAACACCCCGTGTTACGACTCCCAATTATTTAATCACTTACCCTAAAAAGAGAATTAAAAACCCATTAATGAACTAAGAAAGGTCCACCATAGTCCATAGGCCCACATCCCTATAACCAACCCCCTTAGTCCTATAAGGAATAGAATTAGCAAGCCCATAGTATTTAGACCCCAATTAGGACTCTTGGGAAAATATATATAAATAAGGGTCATAGGAGGCACCTAGATCACACATCACAAATAATCTTTCACCACACAAGAAGTTCCAAGAATCCCCTTAGGAGAAATCAAGAAAGAAGAAATCTTAAAGAAAGACCCTTCATAGCCAAGGAAATTAATTAAGGCTAAGAGGTAACCCATGTCTACACAAAACCTATTTCTTTGCTATAATTCCCTTCCATGGCCTCCCTCTAAATTCTTGTGTCTTGATTGAATTCTTTTATGATAATAATGTTATGTTCTTGATGATTGATGAGATGATTTATATGCTTTCTTGATAATCTTGATAATCTTGATGTTAAAAGGAAGTTCTTGATTATGATATGATGATTCTTGATGGATCTTGATATTTTCTTGATGTTAAAGATAAAATATGTTGTTGATGATTTGGGTGGGATTAGAGCCCTAGATTGGATTGGGAATTTGTATTGTGATGTTCTTGATTTATATTTGGGCGGGAATTCGCATGTTCGGGTGTTGTTCACATTTAGAAGTCGTAATAGGATAAGTCCTACATGATTCTTGCTTTTGATCCGTTAATTGCTTACATGGTTTCATGATTTGCGTTTAAAAGCGGCAAAGGGCAGCGGGGGTGGGGGAACCCACCATCTACCCGCTGCCCAAAGGGCACTGCCCGGCAGCGGGCAGCCCGTCGGCTACCCGCTGCCTGGAATAGTGCCCTCCGGCGGGCAGCCGGCGGGTAACCCCCACCTACCGGCTACCCGCTGGTCCATACCCCACCCCGGGTCCCCGGCTTCCCCTTGTGATGTTCCCCATCCCCCGTGGTGTCCCAACGGACCCCATTTGTCGTGCCTGAGTCTAGTTTGATGTTTCGGGTACAGTTCGTAGGATAAAAGAGTCTTAGGAATTGAATGCTAGTGGAATTGGTAACCTGTGCACCTAGGTGGAAGTTGTATGAGCCCTTAGGAGTTATTCTTAGTATGTGAATGGTCACACGTAAGTTTATTTATATGTCTTTCCCCTCCCAATGTGCTATTACGTGCTCCTACATGTTATGTGTTGCATGATCCCCCATTTTGGCTATAGGCCAATTGGGTGGTTCCCAGACTAAGGTTCGGAAGTCGGTTGAAGACCGAATGGATTGTTCCCGGACTGAAGGTTCGGAAGTGGCTGAAAGCCAATGGATTGTTCCTGAGCTAAGGCTCAGAAGTGGCTAAGGCCAAATTGATACACTTCTTGGACTACAAGTCCAAATATGGGCCTCGGTGCTATGACCCACCGGACCTGAACGCGCCAGGACAGTGTGTAGGGCCAATAAGCCGAGGAATGCTGTAATCCACCGACCTGAGTAATTAGGCGGTGTGTAGGGCTACGGTTGGCTGTGATCCGCTATGGTCCACCGACTGTGCGCATCGACGGTGTGTAGGGTCGTAAGTCCCCCCTTGTAAAGGGGATCGCGGTCCACCGACTGTGTGCGTCAGCGGTGTGTTAGATCGTGGCCCGACGTTGAGTTCGTCAGCGGTTCTCAAAGGGTTGGTTGCGATCAACTCTCCTCATACCGCGGTACTGAGGTAGGGTGCTGCGGGGCCGTGTTAATGCTATAAGCATTAATCCTCATGTTCGGGGCATGCGATTGGTCCCGTGGTGCCATCAATGATTATGTGATATGAATGGTGATTGGATGATGATGTGTTTTGGAATTGGAAAGTGATTTGTGACCTTAAATGCGTACTCCTTATGAAGATATCTCTACTTAACTGTTTATTAATGTTTGATGTGCTTGTCCCTATTTGCTGAGTCTATTCCCGGCTTTTAAAATTAGTGTCTCTTAAGTATATATCTTCCTGCTTCAAAATGGTTTTCGTATATCTATATATATATAATGTATTTCAACGCGTTTGAGTGGGTTACCAGCATCTCTCACTGAACAGATATATTTGGCTTTCAGGCACGATTGAGTAGACACTGGAACGCGCTAGAGGTTGGAAGCGTAGAGTAGATAGTTCCCTTTCGGCCTGCGTGCCATGCTTATGTATTGACATTATTAAGGATTTTAGATAGTTAGCCTGTGCACCTGAGTTCTCTAGCTCAGGTGTGGCAAAGCAGCCCATACTCTTATATTATACTTTTGGGAATTAATGAGAATTTACCTTTATTATATAAGTCTTAAAAGTTGAAAAATTTCAGGGTGTTACACCTACATCTGCCGTCATGTTCGCTTTGACGAATCTGTTTTTCCCTTTGCTACAGGCTATTCTCAACAGGTGCCTTCGTCACCGTCGTTACCGTGGGCTGTTGTTCCCGTGGCCCACCCACCTGCTACAACTGTAGTAGCTACACCCGCTATTTCTGATCACCATAACAGTGAGCCAGTACCCCTTGCACGTGAGCCCCCACAGTTGGCTATCACTACACCGCACCAGCTAGGACACGGAAGGCCCGCACTCAACCTCAGAGCCGGGACCATGTCATGCGCCTACGTCACATGACAAAGGGCGCGGATGAGCCCTTCCATGCGTTAAACGCTGTTGCTGACCCGACCTGCTATTCTCAAGCGGTGGGACATGCTCATTGGCGTGAAGCTATGGACCAGGAGTTTAATGCCCTTTTGCACAATAACACTTGGCGTTTGGTACCGTCACAACCTCACATGAATATCATCGGGTGCAAATGGGTGTTTCGCACTAAGCGCTCAACCACCGGGTCCATTGAGCATTATAAAGCTCGTCTCGTGGCCAAAGGGTTCAACCAAGTGGTGGGTGAGGATTTCTTCGACACTTACAGTCCTGTAGTCAAGCCGACTACAGTCCGCATGTTGTTTTCGTTAGCTGTGTCTAACCGGTGGACTCTACGCCAGCTAGATGTTCATAATGCGTTCCTGAATAGGCATTTAGAAGCGACTATATATATGAAACAACCTCCGGGGTATGAAGATCCGACTATGCCAGGACATGTGTGACACCTCCAGAGGTCCTTATATGGTTTAAAACAGGCACCTCGGGTCTGGTTTAAGCGGTTGCATGATTTCTTATTGTCTGCGGGCTTCACACCGTCCAAGATCGATGTTTCACTTTTTTATTGTTCTACAGGGACATCCCGGGTGTTTTTTCTGGTCTATGTAGAAGATATAATAATGATGGGCAATGATTCCAAACTAGTAGACACTCTATTGCATCGGCTTGCTACAGCCTTCAAGATTCGAGATCTCGGCACACCGGGTTTCTTTCTAGGCATCGAGATGGTATCAGCAGGAGATTGTGTGATACTCTCGCAACGTCGATATATGTCAGACCTCCTAGGACGGTCCGGAATGGTTGCACTCAAGCCACTATCCACGCATGCGGCTGTGACAAAGTCAGCAACACCGTCTGATGACCTGTTTGATAATCCGACACAGTATCGACGCATTGTCGGCGCCTTACAGTACTTAACTATCACGAGGCTTGATCTAGCCTATGCAGTAAACCGCCTATGTCAATTTATGCATACACCCACAACAGAACATTGGGGTTTAGTGAAACGAGTACTTCGCTACATTAAAGGGACATTAGATTATGGTTTGCGGCTCACTCCGTCCTCCTCATCTGGCATTCATGCTTTCTCAGACTCTGACTGGGCTGGCTGTCCCATAGACAGGAAAAGTACAAGCGGGTTTGCTGTTTATCTGGGTTCTAATCTGATCTCGTGGCTGTCGAAGAAGCAGCGGACCGTGGCTCGATCTTCCACTGAAGCAGAGTACAAGGCTTTGGCTGATGTATTCGCCGAAGTCACGTGGGTGGTTTCCTTGCTTCGGGAGCTTGGGTTATACTCTGGAGGTCCGGCAACGCTATGGTGTGATAATCTAGGGGCTACCTATCTGTGTGCTAATCCAGTGTTTCATGCTCGGACTAAGCACGTGGAAATTGACTACCATTTTGTCCGTGGCAAGGTTGCTTCAGAAGAGTTTGTTGTTAATTATGTTTTTACTGCCGATCAGTTTGCCGATATCTTCACCAAGCCGTTATCTGCACCGAGGTTTACTGCTCTGCGTGACAAGCTCAATGTTGCTACTGCCCAACCTTGTGCTTGAGGGGGTGTGTTAGTATTAGTATTATTATTGTTATTATACCTTTGTTATATGGTTGTAATATATGTGGTGTTTAGAATACTTAGTCTACTAGTCAGGATCAGTTAGAGAGTTGTTATTAGATAAACTCTGTATTCCTATTGTTCAGTTTAATGATCAACAATTATCTCTAATCCTCTGGAGAAGGTAACCCATTGGGCTGCCTTCTCACCGGAGAAGGCAACCCACTGGGGTGCCTTGCCTTCTCACCGGAGAAGGCAGCCCAGTTACCTTCTCCGGTGAGAAGGCACCGGAGAAGGATGGATTTTTTTTTAAATTTTAATGAATTAAATTTTGAATTAATTAATTATTATTTAAACATAATAAATGTGATTTAATTAAGGTGGTGCAAATAGCATTTTGACCACCCATTAGGCTATTTGCACCACCTATGTATTTATTATAAATTTTTAACTTTTTATACTTTCAATGTACTTTATACCCCATTTTGGTTAAATGGTGGTGCAAATAGCAACACCCGGTCAAATAACTTTATAGGTGGTGCAAATAACAAAGTGCTATTTACACCACCCTCAATTAATGTGGTCAAAGAGTAATATATATTATTCTTTTTTTTTTTTTTTTAACGATCAACATATTAACTAAAAAAAAAAAAAAACAATTAGTCACCTTCTCCGGTTAGAAGGCGAGGGACTGCCTTCTCACCGGAGAAGGCAACTGGGCTGCCTTTTCTGGTGAGAAGGTAGCTCAGGGGTCTCCTTCTCACCGGAAAAGGTGACCTAGGTAGACCAGGGGTCTCCTTTTCACCGGAGAAGGCGACCCAGGTAGACCAGTGGTCTCCTTCTCACCGGAGAAGGCGATGATTTCTTCTTCTTCTTCTTTTTTTTTTTTTTTTTTTTTTTTTTTTTTTTTTTTTTTTGACTAATTATTTGTGTAATTGTTTTTTTTAATTGTTATTTTTAATACATTTTTTTAAGTTCTATTTTCAATACATCTTTGTTTGTTCAATACATTTTTTTTAACTTTCTATTTTCAATACTTGTTTTTGTTTATGGTTTAATTTTTAAATAAAAAAAAATAATAATTAATTTTATTATTTTAATATTCTTTATAACTTAAATTTGTTGTATACATTATTTTATCTTTTTATAAAGATATAATAAATTAAATTTGAATCGCTAAAAATTGTAAAAATACATTAACATAACAATAAAAAAAAAACAAAAAAAAATAACAAAAAAACAAATACATTCAATTTCAATCTAATATAACATTTTCCCGAGTACAATTAGAGCGTACATGCTCATTGTAACTTTCAATCTGATTCATATATGGAGTCATCCATGTATTTGCACAATCATATCTAAAATAAGCCCATTGTGGAGCAATAGTAGGCATTGGATATCCTCCTGTCAATGTTACCTTAACATAATGATTATTATTAACATAAGTACATAACCAATGGCTATTGCTAGCTACATGCTTGTACCAAGGTGGTGGGCTAGATCGGAGTGGTAAATATGTTGTACTGCCTGCCATACTCAAAACATGTAGTATCCCATTGTACCGGGAAGCAATTAGTACACCAATCTCCGGCATAGTCATCCAGTGCTCAACTGGTGCACACCGATCTTGTGCAAAAAAATTCAACATGTTATAGACATTATACCATCCTTGAGTTCCAAACATATCGGTATATTCCATCTTGTGAGACTCTAGTTCTTCGATTATGTTGGATCAAATTTTGAACCATTCGTCCTCCTTAAAATCGAGACAGAGAGCTACTGCTCGAAATCCACAGTTTCCGTCAGATCTCACATCTTGCACTTGCATGATGAAAGGATGGAATATAACCGGAAGTTGAAGAATATATGGATGGTAAAAATGTCTATCACCTGAAGTTGATGCAACTGAACAACTATTCCGAGCTGGTTCTTGAAACTGAATATTATTCGGCTTGGCTTGAGTTTTTCTGAGAGATAGAGTTCTTATGAGAGATTTGTTTTTTGAAGTGGGATGCCCACGAATATTTATTTGCACGGTTGGCTCACGGTGACGCCCATGATTTCATTTCCTGGCCTTGCATAAGGGTGACCTTCAAGGTGCAGTGCAGGATCATGATTATGTACTCCACATATTACCCTTACCCTCCAGCAACCATCAACACGTATGTATTTCCCCTCCAATTGGAATGGACAATCAATTTTTCTTGTACCCGTGTTTTTGGATGAGATTTTTTTGGCACATAAGTACCACCACGGTCACACTGAAATATAACTGTAGGACTTTTATTACGCGACCTTTTAATCACAATAACATATCCGAGATCCCAACCTCTACTTTGAACCCATTCAATTAAATCTTCGCGAGACATGAATGCCTAATAAAAAAATTATTTATATCAATAATAAAACTACCATATAGTAGTACAAATTATTATTTGATAATTATAATCAAATAAGATATTTATAATTTTACCGTTTCTGTAGAAAATTCGCATGCAACCTCGAGATTTAGGTTCACTTGGTCACCTAGTATTATATATGACTATACCTTTTTTGCCTTGTTTGGTTCTAAATTTTTAATTTTTAATAATAATAATAATAATAATAATAATAATAATAATAATAATATTATTATTATTATTATTATTATTATTATTATTATTATTATTATTATTATTATTATTAATGCTGTAGATTGTTTGTAATAGTACAGATAATTTTGTTTCTTTTTGAATGTAAACTAGATTTCTTCATCTATTTTTTAAAGAGAATATTAATTAATTATAATCATAAATAAAGGGTAAAAAATTATAAAATGTTAAGTGGAGTATTAAGGTGTGAATGACTACATGCATGTATACCAACAAATAAAAAAAAAAACAGAAATTAAGTATATGTACTAATTAAAGCACAATATATACAAACATGATATTGCTTACATGCTTACAAGTTAATAATAATAATAATAATAATAATAATAATAATAATAATAATAATAATAATAATAATAATAATAATAATAATAATAATAATAATAATTGATGGTTTTTGGGTTTTCAGGCCCAAGGAGGTCCAACACAACCTTTGGCTGGAGGATACACCTTTCAAATAAAAAATGTATGCCTATCTCGGAAATAGTGCTAGTACTCGGAATCTCTCTGATATTCTCCCCTCTCCGGGTGTTCAATCGTCTCCCCTTTTACAAGAATGGAGGAGCCTTTATATAGCGGCTCCTCCTCTACCGACTTGAAGGCCCTTAATGGCCGACTTCAAGACTAATTAAGATATGGAGCCGTTGGACGCCATTACTTGGTCGACCAACGGCTCTTCCAGGTTTGTAACAGCCTGACCGGGTCCTGCTTTCAATGCCCTAACGGCTCCCTTTTAAACAAGCCTCTTCAATGCTCTCAACGGCTCCTTGAACCGAGTCTCCTCCTGGGCTTGGGCCTTGGTCGACTCCTCGTCTCAGCCTGAGCTCCCACTGGGCTCCTCTTTAGCAGTTCTGATCCGGGCCCCGTGCCTGGGCCCGGGCCGACTCCAGGACTCGGCCCAATTGCTCTTCGGGCTCCCCAGACGCTGGCCCACCTCTCCTGTCTTGAACCATTTCCTTTGGGCCCCTATCTCTTGGGCCGGGGTACTTACCCCATCAACTAGTCCCTCACTTTTTAATACCCGGTACGCTAGCCTGGGTTTGAAAAAGTGGCAACTGTCCATCTCCTTCAATCACCGTATCCACGCCTTGAATAGCTTTTCGTAACGTCCGGATCCTCAGCCGTTCTCTCCGGATCTTGCGGGGCCGTTTGGATTCTTCTGTCTAAACTTGGCACCTATAAATGGCATCCTCCCTTCTCTCTTACCTTCACAAGTCCATCATGGGTCGTTCTCCTCTGAAAGGAAAACGGATTGACTTCGGGTCTCCTTGGCGTCCGCTGCCTTCCAAGCGGACTCGGCCTGAAAGGGAACACAAAAAGAAGACTCCTCGCCCGGCCTCTCAGAGGTCTCCTGCCGGCGCTACGTCTTCAGCTTCTCAGCCGCCGACTCCTTCTCGACGCGAGGTCGCTCCGCCTTCACGCCATCCGCCTACTCCCACAACTGCCCGAGTGACTTCTCCGGACGGGTCCTTTGTTGAGGTAGCGGTTCCAGAGCAACTCACTTTCAGAATGACCTTCTCAATTCCCTTGGACGACCTGGACGGGCCGGTTACGGGCCTGATGAATGATGAGGATTACGCCCGCTACCTGGAGGTGTATCCGGATGATGAGGAGCCAATTGCGCCACCACTCATGCCAGCTTTCTGGGACTCGTTCTGTCCATCCCCACCTGGACCATCGGGTGGATTCTTTGGGGGCGACTCCTCCTCGCCTGGCGAGTGATCGTATGTACCAGAGTCGGCCATGGCTCGGAGGAATCTCTTTTAGGAGCATTTTCATATTCCTTGTTGTAATAAGCTCCTTGCCATTTGTATCCTCATTTTTTATAATAATAATAAGAAACACTATTTTCGCCTTGCCTTATGTTTTGTCATGTTCTATTGCGTATCCATCCTGACGACTGGTCAAGGAGTCGGTCACGTCATCAGACTCTTTTCAGTCTGACACCTGCAAGATTCCCCGTATCTTGGGCGAATCCAATCTTCTCTGCGTTGGCGTGCGAATCTCGCTCTTCGCGAGCGGATCTGATGGAACTAATCTCTGACAGAGATTCGCGTCATCCGTCTAATCCGGCTCAGTTATGTTAGTTATAATCTCCTCCGTGATTATCGCCTAGATATCTGCCTTCGCTGGGCTATATAAAGGCCCCCCCACAGTGGATGCAAATCGCAACACTCTCCACTTTGCGAAGGTATGGCGCTATGAGTTACAGGGATGGTGATCGCCGCTGGTCCATTCGTAACAAGGAGCATGCTCGTCTGGAGCAGTTGAGGCAGAAGAGGTTGGCTAACGGAGGTCGTTTGGTGGGCGACTCGGCTTAAGACCCCATTGTGGTGCCTCCAGACAT